GCCCCCGCACACCGAGCAGGGCCCCACATTGCAGCAGACGGAGCAGGGCGCACTCAAGGCGGGCAGGCCAGGGCCGGGCTGCAGGGGAGAGGGGAGAACCCCGCGGTGCTGGCGCTTGAGGTGGCGGCCCAAGCTGGAGCGTGAGGAGAAGCGGAGCTCGCAGACCAGGCAGCAGTAGGGTTTCTCACCAGTGTGGACGACCTGGGAGTGCGGGAAGAAGGGCACAACGTCAGGGCCGAGAACCTAGCCCGGACAGCGGATTCCTGGACTCCCAGGGGGACGTGGCAGAAGCCCTCTGTCACATCTACAAGGTCATGATCTAGGGAAATGCTCGTCGTATCACTCTCCGCTTGGGGTCACGGTAGAATTCTTTCAGTCCTTAAAAACGCCATGTCCTGGCTGGGCATGGTGGCTCACGCCTGTAATCCCAGCACTCTGGGATTGCATAAGCCTAGGTGTCCGAGACCAGCCCAGGCAACGCAAGGAAACCTTGTCTCTACAAATAATTTTAAAAGCTAGCTGGACACGGCATGCTTCTGTGGTCCAGCTACTCGGGAGGCTGAGCCAAGCAGTTTGAGGCTGCAGTAAGCCGTGATCATGCCACCACACTACAGCCTGCATGACAGGGTGAGACTGTGTCTCAAAAAACAAAAAACAAAAAACAAACCACGGCCGGGCGCGGTGGCTCACATCTGTAATCCCAGCACTTTGGGAGGCCAAAGTGGGTGGATCATTTGAGGTCAGGAGTTCGAGACCAACCTGATCAAGATGGTGAAACCCTGCCTTTACTAAATATACAAAAATCACCCGGGTCTGGTGGTGGGCACCTGTAGTCCCAGCCACTCAGGAGGCTGAGGTAGAAGAATCGCTTGAACCCGGGAGGTGGAGGATGCACTGAGCCGAGATCACACCACTGCACTCTAGCCTGGGCGACAGAGCGAGACTCGGTCTCAAAAAAAAAAAAAAAAAAAAAAAGTAAAGAAATCACTATCTGCGGCTAATGGCTATACTGGACAGTACAGCTCTAAAGTGACAGTGCAGCCGGCCCTGGTAGTGTGGTCTTTTCCCTTGTCAAGCCCCGCTACCCCGAGCCAGTTATCATGAGCTGAATACAGCCCTTAGGTGTATTAGGGTAGAGAAGTGATTTCGAACCAAATCTGGCTACTGCTCAGAGTCTCTCCCACTGAATGCTTTTCACACATACAGATCCAGGGAATCACTTCCAAATCTAGGGAATCGAATCTCCCAGGAGGGAGTCCAGGAGCCTGTACTTTTTTTCTGAAGCATTGCCAGGCCTGTAGACTGCGTAAAACTGTGCCTTAGAGAGGTTTTTTGTACTGATATTTGTGCTTGTTGATTTAAGATTTTGGAATAGCAGAGAGAGATTTGTGAGTGTGGTAATGTCTTCCTGAGACCTGTGAGGAGAAGGGTGAGGCTGGATGAGAAAGAGTGCAGTGCTTGATTAGTAATGTCTGCCAGGGGCACAGACCTGAAGAAGGAACAGGGAGTGATGTTCATTTGCCTTTCTGGCTCCAGACAGGATGTCCCTGCTGTACAGTGTGGGTGTAGAGATCTCTATCCTCTTTGTCGCTAAATTCATTCTCTCTCTACTCTTTCTAACACAACAAGGTTATGCTGGTCCCAGGGCCCTTGTACATGCTGTTCTCACTGCCTGGAATGCTTGTAGGTCTATTTATCTGTCGCTCCTTGGAAACCCTTCCCCGAATCTGGCCCCCTGGCTCATCAGTGATCCTCTTCCACCCTCCTCCTTTAAAGCCTATGGCTCATAGCACACTTAGTGTCTACATATAACTTGAGTGTTGTCTGTCTCCCCACCAGCTAAGGACGATGAAAATAGCGACCACATTGGTTTTGCTCACAGCTGTATTTCCAGGGTCCAGCATTCTCCAGACTTCTCCTGAGCCACACTCTTTCTGCTTCTCCGTGCTCCAGTCACACTGGCCTTCCTCCAGTTCCTCCAAAGCCTGCTTTGCTTCCTTGAAAGTACACATCTTGTTCCCTGGATCCAGAAAGCCTCAGACCCCAGAGGCAGATGATTCCTCACCTTTTTCTCTGGAAAACCATCCCTGACCCCATCCCCGATCCAGACTGCTTCAGATCTCTCTTGCATGAGTCTCAGAATATGGTTATCCTCCATCCTCAGATGTCTCAGCTGCAACCTAACGTTGATTAACCTGGTTGTTCAGTTCACATCTCCCACATTTGACTCGAGGACATACAAGGGGTGGACTGTATCTGTTTTGTTCCCTTAGCTAATTTTTTTTCCCCAGAGAGCCTAGCACCGTACCTAAATACAGTAGGTACTCATGAAATGGTTCAGTTGAATCACAACCTACTGGTGGGTAGGGATGAGGCCTCGGGGGCTGTGAATAGTTGCATCAACTAAGGAGCTCCCCTTTCATCCTAAGGATCAAGGGATTTAAGCAGGAGTCACCTGGTCACTCTGCGACAGATGCAAAGGCTGGATGTGAGGGAGAGAGACAGGAGGGAGGAAGACCACTGAGAAAGCTGGGGCCAACATTCAGGATGTGAAGTCCTGACCAAGGCAGAGGCATGGGGACAGAGAGGACAGCCAAGTGTGAAAGACCATCAGTAGATGTCTGGTTTTCTTCACCCTGGTTGTGCAAGTGTCTGGCACATAGATAAGAGTGTGACCCAGCCCATCCCATCTTCCACCTCACCTCCTTCCACCCCAACCCCACAGTCTTCCATCGCTTCTTAGAACTCAGCACACTCCTTCCTTCCTCAGGGCCTTTGTACTTGCTGTTCCTGCTGCCTGGAATGCTCTTCGCAGGGAGGCTTACTACAGGTGGGCTCAAGTATCACCTGCCCTAACCTTCCCCACCCTGTCTGAAGTAGTCCATAGCTCTCCTCTCTTTACTCTCACACATTGATTTGTATTGTTTGTCTGTCTGTCTGTTTGAAGACTGAGTCTCGTTCTATCACCCAGGTTGGAGTGCAGTGGTACAATCTCGCCTCACTGCAACCTCTACCTCCCGGGTTCAGGGGAGTCTCCTGCCTCAGCCTCCCAAGTAGCTGGGATTACAGGTGCACGCCACCACGCCTGGCTAATTTTTGTATTTTTAGTAGTGATGGGGTTTCACCATGTTGGCCAGGATGGTCTCGATCTCTTGACCTCAAGATCTGCCCACCTTGGCCTCTCAAAGTGCTGGGATTACAGGCGTGAGCCACTGTGTCCGGCCAGTATTTTTTTGTTTCTTAAAATGTCCTTCCTAACACTTATCTTTTTCCAGGACATTCTTGCCTGCATACTTGCTTTCTTGCTTCTTGTCTACTTGGCTACTGACCACCTCCAAAGGAAAGTAAGTTCTCTGAAGGCATGGAATTTGCTCTTGCCTTGGCAACACAGTCGTTTGGTGCAGGGAAAGTTGATAGTCACTGAATAAAGGAATTAAGTATATACCTGATAACCACTGAATAAAGGAATTAAATATATACCTGATGAACCTATTTCTTAAAACGGTAAGGAAGGAAAGGATAAACACTAGATTGCAGATGCACGTGGGATACTGGCAGGGAGAAGGGGGAGGGGAGGAGCCCATAGATGGGGAAATTTACTATGAATGTTCTAGTTGGTGGCTTGGTGGGGACTGAATGAGAAACATCGCATGCTTTCAAGGGTCAGGGTGCTTTGGTGGGGAGCGACGGACATTTTCTAATGGGAGGAGGCGGCTGCCTAGGCCTTGGGCCAGCTTCCTTTTGCCCAGAGCACAGTGGGGCGCGGGATCCCAGCGCAGTCCAGACCAGGGAGGCCAGCCTGGGGCCAGCCTGTGGGACTCACCTGGTGGTGCAGCAGGCCGGTGGAGTCGCGGAACCCCTTGGGGCAGGCGGAGCAGCGGTAGGGCCGCTCCCCGGTATGCGAGCGCAGGTGGTTGGCTAGGTTGAAGCTGTGCTTGAAGCCCTTGCCGCAGCGCGGACACGCGTGGGGCTTGAGCGCTGTGTGTCGGGCAAAGTGGCGCCGCAGGTCTGAGCGGTAGCGGAAGCTCTTGCCACATTCACTGCAGTGAAATGGGACCCGGGGGGCGGCAGCGGCGGGCGGTGCTGGTGCAGGGGTTGGGGCCGGGACGTCATCCATGGTGGCGGGGAATACAGTGGTGTGTGGGGGCTCTCTCTGGAGTAGGGAGGAGACAGAGGAGCAGGTGAGGGGGTAGGGTCCCCATCAGCCCTCTCCTCCCAGGCTCCCAGACCCACCACCTGTCCCCTGGGAAAGCCTCCCACTGCCCACCTCTCTAAGCCCCTCTCATTGTTCTTTAAAATCCTCCTACTCTCTTAGAAACCCTTCTCCCTCTGCTCCACTCCTCTGGCAATCTTCCTAATCACTTCCCAGTCTCCTCACTCCACGGAGCGTTTTTAAGCCTCTCCCCCTCTTCGCCAATGCGCGGCCACTCCTCTCAGTGCCCCTCCCGCTGTAATTTAAGCCTCTCCCACTCTTCCTACTCCCTTCAAAGCCCCTACACTGTTCCCTAAGCATCTTGTATTCTTTGCCAAGCCCTTTTCCCTCCAAAAGGCCCTTCCACTCCCCTCTGCGCTCCTCCCACTCCTCTTCCAGGATGATCACTTAGCAAATGGGAGGGCAAAGATTTGGGACTAAGCACACTGGAGTCATCCTTGCAGGGAGACCATAACTAGTCCTGTAACATCAGACAACAAAAACTCTTCATCTGCAAAATGGGAATAGTAGTACCTACCTCATAGAGTGGTGGCGAGAATTAAGTAAAACAGTGGCAATAAATGTTTCGTGCCTACTTAAGCTGGTGCACAGCAAAGACGCAACAAGTAAGCTGTTTGGATGACTATTATCCCGTAAGTTCTTCCTGGTTTCCTCCTTAAGTCCTACCATGCTTGCTAAGTTACTTGACTTCACTAAGCCCCTCTCGGCTCCACTAAGACCCACTTCCAAAACTCCACCCAATTTTTCCTTTAAAGAAGCCACATCCTTTCTAAGACCATCCACTGGACTCCTGTCACCTTCTCAGGCCTTCTCTACGAAGTCTCTTCCCATCCCCTGCAAGTCCTTTCCACATTCATTATAAGGACCTGACAGTTGCATTAAACCCCTTCAAATTACACCCTTAAACTCCGCCCCCCTCGCTAGGCCTACCTACTTCTCTAAGCCATACCCCAGACAAACTCCACCCCTTCTACTCTAAACTCCTCTCTCCTGCTTCCTGGGCTCCGTTTCCCCAACCAGCCTCAATGAGTTTCCTTCCACCCCTCAATCCAGGGCCTACCCACCATTCCTTCTGAGCCACGCCCCCTTATCAAACCCCACCACTTTGCCCAAGCCCCTCCCATTTTCTATCCACTCTCCCTCCTCCACGCCCCTCCCACTTCCACTCTAAGCTCCGCCCAACTCAGGCTCCTCCCAACCTTTGCTCCGCCCCAGCAGCCACTAGGCCCCGCCTCCTCCACCCCGCAGCCTGAGGAGCTGGGGCCCCCCCCATGCCCAGTCCGCTCCAGGCCCCAGGCCCCGAGAGCCGGCCTTTTGTGCCCCTCCCCCTGCCCCTAAAAGGTGCAGCCCTGGGCGCCTGGTAGGGGGGCAGGTCGGGCAGGCCCCGGGGCCAGGCGAGTCCACCTCGCTCGTACGGAGCGTTGGGTCCTGGAGACCCGGGAAGGCCCCAGGAGGCCGGGGAAGTCCGTCGGCTTTCCTCTTTAATTACTTACACCTCCCTCTGGGCGCCGACATTTTGGGCAGCGGGGGTAGCGTCACTTCCACCCGGGGGGCCCCTCGACTTCCGCCTCAACTCCCTTCCCCTGCCGTACTCCCCCTTTCTCCCGCCCTCTTGCTCCCCTTCCTCATCCCCGCCCTTCTACCTCTTTCCCTTTCCTTTCCCAGCCCTGGAGGTTGAAGAAGCCAGGCCAGCGCCATCTTGGGTGAGGGCAGCGGGAAGGGGCGGGGCTTAGGGACACGCACGGCGCCATGCAGACTAAGGGCAAGGAGCTGAGAGCTCGGCTTCTTCTCCTTCGTGGCGACACTAGTCGATGCTAACGTAAATGAGAGCAGATACTATTTCTTTTTCACAGGCTCGGACTCCCCCTGATTAGGATGTAGAGTTGGACTAGGGAAAAAAAGAAAGCGAAGTGCGCCAACTGCAATACAGAGCTGGAAAAAACCGGCACCATCTTATCCACTTAGCCCTCCATGGGCTTCGAAGCCTGTCCGGTGCCATGTTAATTACGGGCACTGGGCAGCCATTTTCCCGCTCCTCATCGTTCGGTATCTGTCTTTGATTGGGTCACCCGAATGTGTGCTTTGTGAGAGAAAAGGCGTTTCGAGGTGGTTGGGGATGTGGTGCTCGGTTATTTCCCACTGGGGACACACCAGGGCCGCCGGTGCGCAGGCGCGGCTTGCTGGCGTGGCCGTGACCGGTCCTTAGGACCCAGCGAGTCCCCTTTGTTTCCCGCGGGCACGCAGGCGGGAGGGAAGGGCAGGAAGGGAGGG